GTGCAGACGTGACGGATGAAGGCACTTACAGTTAGCCTTTCGGCGGGTTGTTGAAATAGGCGTAGTCAGTCACAGTAAAGAGCACAAAGCCACATCAGATCGAAAGTGACGGTGTCATCGCTAAGGTGAGGGGGCCTCGGCGATATGTGAAGGGTCTTAACGACAGCAGGAAACCAGAGCAGTTGGAGTGTTTTAAGATAAAATGTAACCTTTCCCTCTTTCAGGTTTCAGGCTGACCCTGCGGCCTCGTGAGAGCAGCAACTATGCAAAGCCCCAGACATCACCTCATAATTTCCACTGCCATCTCACTCAGACTCTATCTTCTTCATGTTCCTCCTTTGTAATGCTCTTTATTCTATTCTCTTCCATCGTCCTGGGCCAGCGCTTCATTTTGTAACGTCCTTTACACTTCAGCATGTCGTCCATCATATCAAATCTTCTACCCTCCATAAAATCCTCCCTTATCTTTTACTCATACTTCCTGTTTTGTAACGTCCTCCACCGCATTGTTCATTCTGCCTTTCATCCTTTTCTCCATTGTTCCTCTAAACACTACAGGGAGATTATTGTTGAACTTTTGATAGATAAACAGTAATTGTAGCAGGAAATTATAAATTCTGTAGGAGACAAACTGTTAACTACAAGGCCACCCACCCTATGGGCAACATAGGCGATGGTCTAGGGCATAATTTGATTAGGGGGCACAAAAAAGTGAGTGAAAAAAATCAGAAGAAATACCTCTGGTTGCATTTTGTGACATTTTACTTATTTACACTAGGTTTAATATTTCACTACTTTCATATTTCACTAATCAAGATGCGAGTTAGCTAGTTAGCCAGATAACCCATGCTACTGAAATGTTTTTAATATAAACAAATTTGAAAATGTATATTTTTCTGGGGGGTCAAGCAGAATTTCCCCTAGAGCACTAGAACACCAGGGTTGGCCCTGTGTTTAGGTAAGATGTCTGATCCAGGTCATCCTGTTAATCTGAGCTCCGCTATCTGCCGCTATACTCATCCAAACAGTTAATCACCAATAATAGGCTGGCATCTTCCATTCAGCATGCCCCATTTAAATGCATTTCTGCTTCTTTTCAATTGTGGGAAACTATGCTTGTCCATAAACAACATAATTACCAAAATCAGGCTACAATGTGACATGTCCCAGCTTTGGGACATGACTTCCTGTCTTGGAAGGAAATGAGACCTTCCCTCACGTAATAACACGCCTGGCAGCTGGTCCCATGAAATATGCCCCCCTCCTGCCAGTGTACATCCTCCAGACACCCACTAAGGCATGCAGCCGTGCCCCCCAGGTATATGGGACTGTGACACCCAGGGTGAGGTTCTACGCCAGCCTGTAGCCGCGGGGTCAGACTGGCACCAGAAATCTGTAACATTTTCTGTTTCAATGTAGATACACAAAGAATCTAACTTACATGTTATCGCCCAATCAGGAAATACAGATTTGTTTCTAGCTAACATGTATAAACATTAGAATAATGTTCCTTAAAGTAGGATAAGAGAATTGTTCCCAGCCCTGCTTTCCTGAAATAGAAGCTGCATTTTTTATTCTTTCTTTATCTGGATATGCCTCTGAACTTTACACCCAGTACTCGTAGTTAAGGCCTATTTTGTCCCTTCATGCAGGCAGACTTATCATGGACGGCATGTCAGTGTGATGCAGGGGTAAAGCAGCAAGGCAGAACGTGCAAGTAAGAAAGTCTGAGATGGTTAATGAAAGACAAAGGAACTATGTGAAAATATGCTATTCAAATGTTGACTATTCAGTTACAGTGTTACATGAGGGCACTTTTGTGTTTCTGACCCACAACTGTGTATAAAGAGAGAAGTTTTAAGCTGGCATGGATTCCTGAAAGAAATCTCCTCTTTGACACAGTTACTCATTTATTGAACAGACTTCAACACTTGGTTGTGTAACTTTTACTCCATAAGGAAACCTCAGCACAGTCATTTTTAAAATGTTATTATAACCATTGTCTGTATTACCAAATCTATATTCCTGGAAGAATATTGATACATTTAACTGTTTCTGTAGATTTAACTTCTATATCACTGGTTAATGCCTCAAAGGTGGCTTAGCAAACAGAATCTTTGCATAAGCCCACAAAGACAATGGAGACTGTCCTCTGTCATTGTAAAATGACTGGAGACCTGTGGACATGCCGTGTCACTTCCTATCTTATTTGTTCCAGCCACAGTTGTGGTTGCGGGAGCACAGGTCCTGTGTCTGCTGTACTATATCTACCCCCTTTTAGCGTCATATTGCTTCCACATCCTTACCAACAGCTCATTATGCATCAATAACAGAGTGAGCTCCACCCAGGGCATTCTGGGAAATTGGGCTTTCAGTGCAAGTTTATTGGTTTTTGTGTTTAGAAATAAGTTTTACAGAGTTTGTACTGCGTAGGAGATAATGCCCTATTTTTATGCATTATATACTCTCACATTGGTAATTATAACCTTTCTTTGTGGTTGTATGTATTGTTGCACAACTTAACTTTTATTGCTTTGTTTAAAAATTGTTGTATCATATTTGAAAGATTTTAGCTGTGCTAGTGACAAAGGGAGATGTTTGCATGATATTTATTAACTGAGATAGCATTTCTCTAACTGTGCTAAAACATGATGTAGATTTGAGGCTTACTGCCTGCTCCTGTTCATCCTCTCCTTGCTACACTTTATCACACAGCTCACAGACAATTTATTTACATTCAAAGCAAAAGGGGCACAAGGTCATGACCTTTGAACCAGGATGTTCTTACAGGTTTACAGACAGTGCCCCCTACCCTACGTAGTAGTTGTTAAAACTACTGTGATTTAGTCAACTGCTCTCCTACTTTCCAAAGTGCAGTTCAATGAGTCCCTCCTCATTCATTTTAATGGCCGCTTCAATTCCACCATCAAAAAGAATGGGCTAGGAGACATATATGTGTTTTTAGAGGTCAATAACACTGAATGTTACTTCTAAACCTTCAAAGGATTCATGTTTTCTTAAATGTCACAGTCCTAATAACACATGCTACATGAACACATTTTCCTCATCTTCCAGCTTATCCTGATCAAGTTTTTTTTAAATACTATTTCATAAACACACCCTGTTTAAAATAATTAATAAGTAATATTATGTGACAGAAAAATCAAAGCTGCTTCATGTCAAAAAGAAACAGTTTTGGATGCTTACTGGGGATGCAGAAATTTACAAGGACTCCTTATTCCGGATTTTTAAATTTAATTTACATCTATTTATAGTTTTATCTATTTATAGCACTATTTAGGGCAGTAATTGTTGAATTCTCTGTGAATGTAACCATTGTACTGTATGTTCTACTTTGTTGGGACAATATGCTGCAGAGTTAAAAGGTTTTCAGAACAGGAAGTGAAGTAAAACACAAGAAATGTGTAATTTATCAAGAATAAAAACACAGAGCAGTATTTTGGAAGCATGTCTGAATCATTTCAGTGTCTTTAGCATGTTGTGATGAATGAGAAAGGTTCTGCCATCCTGAATAATTGGGGAGGTTCATGACTAACTTTTAAAAAGACATTTGAACACTAAAATCAGTTAAACACCCACATATTATAGACAGAAATGAATTGATTTGATTAACCTAATTTAAATAATCATGATGATTTTGCTATGCCTTTCACCCTGATATAAATATCGCACCACAATTTGTTGGGTTAATGTTGTTATTTTAATACTAATACTACAAGTGTTATATGTATATAGAATAACTGAGTTCACACTAGAACTTACTTGTAGTGTTGTGTGCATAGAATGTTATATTAATGATTTTCAAGTGAGTCGTAAATGAACAACAAGTGCCATCTTGTGGTAGTACTGTGAACTGTAATTGAAATAAAACGACAGATTCTGCAGGAAATAACGCGTTCATACTTTCATTCATTCACTCATTCATGCATCTTCTAAATAGTTTGTACAAAAAACTAAATCATTTATTTGCAGTCGGTTTTCAACCAATCTTATAACCCATATAAGATATTAACCGTTGTTCATGTAGGTTTCCTCGCGACACGTGACCCTACATTGGCTAAGTAACTAAGGAAAGTGGGTGGTTAAACTCCAGATGAACTTATCAGAATAATAATAAAATGCAACGAACTTAACGGTGTTACAAATGCAGTAACGTACAACACACTAAAGGCGCTAATAGTACACTAAGAAATAGTAGTGATATTGGTTGAAGTAAAAACTATTATAAAATTCTACTCTTATTTTTAAAATAGATTTTCATTATTATATATTTTCAAGAGCATTTTACTGCACATTGCCCTAATTACATTACAATGTTCCAAACCGCTTATCCCTTATAACATAATCATTATTATATTGTTAACCAATTCATTTTATTATTCATTATAAAAATACCACTTATGCCCTTGAAATTAATAAATAATTAATAATGATCTAAATATTTCTCTTTCGTGGAAAAAAATGGTTGGTGCAATGTTTATTCTTCCCTCAGACAACAGAATAGGGGAAGACGTTAATCACCGGTCCTATAATATTCATACTATTGAAGATAATACTCCTCCAAGAACACAATTACTGGCACTATATGCTTAAGTAACTCTTAAGCCTATTGACTGTCCAAATCGAAGGAGACCGTTTCTTGCCAAATTGCGGGGAACATGGCGTTTCTGAATACCAACAACGCAAAGAGCGTATTTGTGGTTTTCGTAAGACTGGTCTTCATAATTTGCCTCCCAAGAACGAACTTTGGGGCAAAATGATTCATGTATTGGTCACGTTCGGCGAGGATGCAACCGATGTATCCTTAATATTTGAGGCCAACATCCGGGGATTTCTACTGTCCTCTATACTTGTGTTCTTTAGTATTGGAACTGGTCTTCAGCAATGGAAGATGACGTAAAACGGGTCCACGAGTATTGAGAAACACCCCCGGAAATTTAGCCGTCATATTTAGAGAGGAAGTTTCGTTGTTGATGACGTGCTATAGAGGGAAGTTACGTCTCGGAGAGCTTCCTGTTGAAGCGGGCGGAAAAGGCGTTTCGTTGCGAATGAATACGAGAAGATGCCAGCGGCTGTAATGACAAGTGAAAATTACGACAAACTGCTGGAGCAATGCGAAGTACAAGAGCTGGAGGTAAATATTGCTGCTGAGTAAAGTGCTGCTTAAGCTGGTGGATGAGCGGCGGAGGCCGAGCGCTGTTGCTGAGTTCCAGCATCAGCCTGACATGGTTTGGCTGCACATCTGAGCTCGTCGCTGATGGTCCGAAAGCTCTCCCTGTTTGAGTTTAACTTAAACTGGGAAGTAAATTGGGATTACCTGGCTTCGTCTGCTTTACTTGTCTGTATGACTGGTTGTCGGTGCTTATTTCGGTTGACTGTGGAAGAACAGTTTCGGTAGTATGTTGCCAGTTGTGTGTTTCTGTCAGACGCGTAGATGTCAGTTGATATGCCATATGGACCACACTTGCAGATGCAATAACTGAATGCAAATGCACTAAATGGCACTAACGATATTCCGACTTGATAAGAACATTTTATAACGTAACTTTAAACTGTGACAATCGAACAAAAGGACTGTCTCAAAAAAGAAGCAGCAGTCCACATGCCTGTGGATGCAGAAGGCTTCAGCAGAACACGGTAGTAAAACAAAATGAATTTAACTGTAAGGCATAATTTTGACTGGCTTTATTTTTTTAAAAAAGAAAGAAAACAAAACTTTTTGGAAAATGTAACTGGGGAAGACAATGTGCAAGTGGAAAATGTAGCAATAACAGAGAGCATTTACATGTTGTGTCTAATGGATGATAAGAAACACTTGATGCAGTCATGTGGCGGTCTGTCTCTGTGTTGTCAGGCTCCTGGGGGAGTGGCAACACCGCAGGTATATGCCCAGCTGCTGGCTCTGTACCTCCTCCATAATGACATGTGAGTTGCGCCTGGTGTCCTTTGACCTCCCCAGCTCTCTTCTGGTCCATTTTTGGCCCTATACATCCTTCTTAAAGACCTGTAGGCCCTACACATCCTTTTCCATGACCCATAGACCCTTCACATCTTTTTCAGTGACTTGTAGCCCCGACACATCCTTTTCCATGGCCCGCAGGCCCTACACATCCCTTTCCGTGAGCCGTAGACCCTACACATCCTTTTCCGTGACCCATAGGCCCTACACATCCTTCTCAGTGATCTGTAAGTTTGTATGGATTACAGAAATCAATATTGTTTAATTTCTTGGCACAATAGAGTAAGTACTGTTAAAATCCATCATAACTGGACTAGGTGCAGAAATAAAATAAGGACTAAAGTTAAATAAGTGGGCTTTTGTTATTTTGACATGTTATCATATGCAGTCAATACTAATACACAGACAGAGTATTTATTGCTGTGGTGTAGTGATGTGTGGATACAGGATGGAGGAATGTTGGGACCCTTGTTCTAAATGAAAGTCTGTTTTCAGGAACAATGCACGGTATCTTTGGAAGAGGATTCCTCAGGCAATAAAGACCGTAAGTGAATTATTAAAGAATTATTAGCATTTTTAGTTTTTGTTGTTTGAGCAGCTTGCTTTTTGTAGCCGTACTTTGCTTTTTTGTGTTATATAATCCAGATGTTTCTGATTAGCTGGTCCATTCTCTGCATACTCTGCAAAAGCACATTAATTAAATCCGTTAAATATCTTTGCATGATTAGCTCACCTCATTGACATTTTAATGAGATAGAAATTTGGCTCTTTAATTAAATGTTCTTACCTTAATTTTTATTATGTATTTGTTTCCATTGAAGAATGGAATAATTCTTGTGTTTTAGAACAAACCGACATTTTCTATTGAAATGAATGAATAAATAACATAACATGAGAAATCAAAGTGCTAACTCAATTTTTTTAACTATTGTGAAACAGCTTCCTAGTGGCTTAATAATACTTACTGTACCCTGTAGGTCTTGTCTGACTACTTGTAAATAGTCTATAAAGGCATGACTTCTTTCAGTACCAGGTTGTTACTTCCATAACCGAAGTAGTGCTAATGTGCGATTTCCCAAAAGCCAAACCCCTTTTCTGACAAAAGTTTTGAGTGTGATATGCTGAAATCTAAAAGGTGTATGTTATACATTAATAGATTAATGTCTTCAGTCGACCGTAATATTGAATACAGGGCTGGGGGACAAATACAGTTTGTGTGAAATGCTAATAGTGGTTTCCTGTGGTCTCTGCTTTGGAGGAGCACAGCTGGCCTCCTGCTGGAGCTCTGTATGGCCCGCTTTCCGTCTGCCTTCCCCTTGACAGTATCTTGTATCTTGACAGTTCTCTGTGACAAAGCCCAGAATAAGTCACCATGCCGGCTGTGGGGTATGAGAATATGCTGCTGAAAGGCTCCTCTGCTTTTCTCCCTGTAGGCCAACCCTGAGCTTATTGCCATCTGGGCGGTCGGCCAGCGAATCTGGCAGCGAGACTTCCCCGGAATCTACAGCAGCATCGCCGCCCACCAGTGGTCAGAGAGCATCCAGCCTGTGATGGAGGCCCTGCGAGGTACCTGCGTTGTACCTGCGTTGTTGTGCAGTTCTGTCTGCGTTACAGGAAGGTATATTAACCAGAGGTTAAAATAAATATGCAGAGTGGAAGTTGGCAAGATGTAGTAAGGCTGGGAGGCCACCAGGTGTCCTCAGAAGAAATTGCATGTATTGTGCCTTGTTGTTAGATAATTCAGTTTTCTAAATCTGGGCATATTCCTAACCTAACCAGGATAAGTGGTTGGAAGATGAATGGATTATCAACCAAACACATGGATATATGTCAGCATTTTAGTAAATTTTGGGTTCTGGTCTTATGACACAGGACTATAAGGGACTATGGTGGACGCTATTGAAAGGCTCACTTTAGGAATTGCATCCAAATGTCTTGACAGTATTAATCAGGTCCAGGGTGACGTTAAGGTCACCACTATTTGTTCCCAATGGAAATTCCCCAGTACAAGCCGGGTTTTGGTGTTCAGCCACTTAGCTGGAAGCCCTCCACAGAGTCCCATAGTGTTCTGTGGGCTGCATGCTCAGTGCCACATGGCCTCTGTAGTCTTAACGTGGTGACAGTCTTTGCCTTGTGGACCGTTTTACTTGGAAGGCAGCCTTTCCTGTAGGGGAAAAAGTGGTCAGTAATGGGCTGCAGATGATCGCTCACACTTAACGCAGTATAGGGCGCCTCTTCAAGCTTGCCTAGGGTGAGTTTCGCAAGTCCTCCATGCCAGGAAAATGTGTCCTGTCCCGTTATGAAATGGACTATAATTTCTCCCACATGGATCCACTTGATCTAGCTGCACTGCTGCCTCCTCTCCAGCTGAGGGAGCTGTTGCTCATTGGTGTGCAAGGTAAACAGGACTCATAAATCATGGGCACCATTAGAAATGTATAGAAGATTCCTAGCTTGTGTGAAAGCCGTCCTGGTGACTCGATCATGGAAAATGTTTTTGTGGTTCCAGAAAGATCATAAATTTGGCTGTAATGTTTATAGTTTATTACTTGGGTGATGTGGCTGTAAATCACTGAACAGTCTTGTAATTCACCAAACAAAGGTTTCATTGTTGTATCACAGGTAAAACCCCACATTGGCCTATTGGCTGTAAACTAGTCAAGTTCTTTAAAGGAAAAAAAGACAAATGGTGGTTACAAGGCTACCTTAGAATGGGTAGTTATTATAGCTGACCATATAGCATAGCATGTCAATATACGGCAATTATTAATACAGAAAATGTGCAATGTAAAAAAAACAGACTGTTATAAGTGTAGCTTTAGTTCTTTTACGATTATTTCAAGCAAAATACATTGCAATAAGCTATTTGAATATTATGTTCATTCTGTTTTGCGTTATGGGCTAGGTGTAGAGGCATGTAACACGAAGGACTTCATACCACAAATTTTTCCCTTTTCATTTTTAAATAATGAGTTGTACTGGGTAAATCTCTACCGAAAATGGAAGTATGTAGTTTGACTTTTGCAAATAAGTATAAATAGCTTAGCTTTAATAATAGTTACTGGAATCTGCTGATTCAGAGTGGCAGAGTCTATACACACCCCCGACTTGAAACATGTCTGTGCTTCTCCTCTTGACTGTTGGGTGACACCTGTTTTAGCCAGTCACGTTTTACTGTCACGTTCTTGGCTCTGACGGCCCCTGGTGTAGAGTTGGGAATTGTCATCGCCGGGACTGTAATGGAGGGAATCCAGAATTTCACTTACATTCCCTGTGGATTTGTTAATAGCTGGGAAGCCCACCGATGGCGGCCCGTTTCTGTTTGCTCTTCATGCTTTGGAAATGAGAGCACTGAGACCTGGTCAGGAGGTGGTCCTGTTGCATTTACAGAGCCTCTGACATCTGAAACCAGAGAGCTGGAGCGCAGAGCTGCTTCAGACTGGTGGTACTGGCAGATTCACTGTGACTTTCAGCTCAAGGTCCCTCTGTGCATAGTGCTCCAAAAGACTGGTGTTTTTCTTTTTTTTTTTTTTTTTTTTCCCCCCTGTCGTGTCGGCAGTTAAGCAAGCAGGATGTTAGTCTGGGTGCCTTATTGTGCCAACACTTTTATTTTAACAAGTGGAGCTTCGGATTTAAGCTCNCAAGTGGAGCTTCGGATTTAAGCTCCTCTTGTTACTTGAGGTATACTCTTTATTAATCAGTTATATGTCATTGCGTCACAAAGTCGGAGCTGACAGGGGGGGTTAGTGGGAAAAAAAACTGGTGTTTTTCTGAAGTTACTGAGTATTTAATCTATTGTTAATTCACAATACCGGTAAATTTTGATCTTGTTCTTGGAAAGGTTTTCGCTGACATCCTGTTTAACTTAATTTTTAATTTTCACAAACCAATCATAAACCTAACATAATTGTTGTTGTATTTCTGGCTGTTAATTCTCTGAATGGGTTAAATGTTTTAAAACGCTGGTTCTCAGAAAAAAGTACATTGCTATCGATATATTTTCAAAACGAGATATAGGGTGACATAGTACTGTTTATCAGTACGCTTTAATTGTGCATAAAATTAGGGCCTTATTAATGAATTTTAGTAGAAACCAGTCTACCTCACCTTCGGTCGTGGCGTTACGCAGAATCCCAGAATTCCCAGTTAATAATAAACTATTCAATTAGCATCTCGCTGGAAAGGTGAAGAATCAGCTTGGTTCATTTTGTTTTAATATTGTTAAAAACATCGTAATAAACCAATATTTGGTTTATTTTGTTGAAGACTAATACCTTAAATGAGGGTTTTTCAGTTATTAAATGCATGTTTAATTGCTGTCAGGCTTCTGATGTTGGAATCATTTGCCAAATGGGTTTTAGATTTTAGTTTTTTTTGTTCATGAACATTCACCGTCTATTTTGAGAGCCAGGTCATAAACTGAGAAAAACGTACAGTTGAACATAGTGGAGTGAAACCTTGTTTGAGTCATTAAAAAAAAAAATCCAATTTAAAATACATTCATAAATATAACCAGTTTTTGTCATAACCTGGCTCTAACATGATTTCCTGTACCCGAGGGGTTAATAACAGGTTGAGAATCATTATTTTAAAGTATTTCCTTCCAATTTTTGTAACATGTCTGAGGATGTAAATTTACAAAAGAACTATTTAGTTAGAAGTCCGTGGCAATAACCCAGTAAACATAACTGTTTTTGAAAATCACATACCGTCGGAAAGAGCCATGGCAATCTTCAGACAACCGGGGGGGGACTGATACTGCAGAGCTACAGTTTAGCTCATTTTGTGTTATGCTTAGACCCTCTGCTCCTCTTTGGCCCCACGGTTGCCTCATCCATTCTGGAGGGTGCAAAAATACTACACCTTGTGTACTGTGATCTTGCCCTTAGCACCTGTTGTTTTGTAACTTTTTAATAAACGTACAGTAAGTTCCTTATCTATGGGTTGCATAAGACCCACTCCTTGTGGCTGGTGGTGTGTTTGGACCAACATGTGACTGGTCATCCTTTGGTTGTGTAATATGTTATTTTGGATTACAGGTGCTGTTTTGGCATGATTACTTAGTTTTATTGTTTCCCAATAAATAACCAACAAAAAGTCTGATCTCATGTCATGGGTATAAAATGTAGGGCAAAGGAGTTTGGGAAAGAGTATAGCAGCACGTGGAGCAAAGGTGGCGTTGTTTGTGCAACGGTGGTCCAGCTGTGTGACTGTCCAGCCTGTCACAAGGGACTTGTTTATCTTCTGCTGTGAATTTGACCTTAGTCGTCTGCTCTGCCGAGGTGTGGCATGTGACCCATCAGTTGCTGTGAAAGGGGGGAGGCGTTTTCCCCGAAACGAGAGTCCCAAACAAGCTATGAGGAATCCCGTGCCTGGGATCGGATATCTCTGACCTCTGACGGTGCCTCTCAGCACTCGCATGGTATAAATTCTGGCCAGAGAGCCCCTCAGCAGATCACGATCCGAGAGAAGACAGCAGCTGCAGCAAAACCAGAATACGCACTGCATACAGAGCAGACAGCCTTGTACGCCAGTACCGTGGGTCAAAGTTTTGGAAGGCAGAATGGATATCCAGACCGGCCAAGTGGTGAGGCCCCCCAGCCCCATGGAGAGCTTGGAGAAGCAGCTGAGCTGCCCCATCTGCCTGGAGATGTTCACCAAACCGGTGGTCATCCTGCCCTGCCAGCACAACCTTTGCCGTGGCTGTGCCAATGACCTGTACGACTCCCGCAACCCTTATCACTACTCTGGGGGCATCTTTCGCTGCCCCACTTGCCGTTTCGAGGTGGTGCTGGACCGCCATGGTGTCTTTGGGCTCCAGAGAAACCTGCTGGTGGAGAACATTATTGACATCTACAAACAACAGCAGCAACAAGAAGGCAATCTTGAGACCCCAGTGAAGAGTAAGGAGGGCAAAGAGCCCTTGTGCCAAGAACATGAGGATGAGAGGATCAACATCTACTGCATTACCTGCCAGGTACCCACCTGTTCTCTCTGCAAGGTGTTCGGGGCTCACAAGGACTGTGAGGTTTCCCCTTTACAGTACATCTACCAGACCCAAAAGGCAGAGCTCAGCAATGCCATTGACTTGTTAGTGACTGGAAACAGCTGCGTGCAAGCCCTGCTTAATCAGATGGAAGACACCTGCAAGGCCATCCAGGAGAACACACTGCATCAGAAGAAGATCCTGGGGGAGAAGTTTGACCTACTTTATGCCATACTGGAGGAGAAGAAGGGACTGTTGCTGGAGAAGATCAGCCAGGAGGAGGACACCAAGGTCCAGACCTTGCATTCCCTGGTGGAGCAGCACACACAGCAACTGCAGGATGGCACCAAGCTGATGGACGCCGCTGTCCAGGCCATGGAGCAAAGCAGTGTGGCAGAGTTCCTCTTCAGCGGTAAGCTGCTCATCGCTCAGGCCAAAGAGGCAGCCAAAAACTCCCAAATCCAGAGGCCAGAGCCAGGCTTCGAGAAGATGGACCACTTCACTGTGATCACAGAACATGCTGAAGCCGTTTTAGCCAAGATGGATTTCGGAGTGCACGATGACGATGACGATGACGATGAGGAGGAGGAGGAGGAGGAGGAAGAAGAGGAGGAAGAGGAGTGAAAGTGTGCACTTCAGTGAATTTGGAGTTTAGCTACTTGAATCTGAATGTTTAACAGAGGATTTAGTTTAAACTAGGACAAGACCAGTCACTTCAGGGATATGGAAAGTGACTGCATTGCGTTTCCATGACAAGCCTTTTGAGTGTGATTTTAAGAATTGCTGTTATACATACAAAAATGTACTAAAATGTAAAATACAAAATGTACAATTTTGTACATACCTTTTTTACTTTTGTATTTGTTTTGTACTGGATTATTTATAGGATTATCTTCTGAAGGTAAATGTTAATGTTTACATGTTTGTCATTATATGATCTTATTTTCTGTCAGCCATATTTATTATGCTTAAACTGAATAGCTTAGATGATTCTGTCTTTTTGGCATCTTCTTGTTAATTTAGATTGTATGGCCTGCACTTTACTGACTAGTGTTTTCATTTGATGAAATAAACTGGTTGAATATACAGTTTGACATGTTTCATTCCTGTTAATCACCAACATCAGACCCTACAGTAATATTGAGGGAGTGAGTTTTTCTATGTTCGTAAAGCAGAAGGGCCCCAGATAGCCATCAATTGGCATACAGTTTACACTCCTTAGGTGGTGTGAGGCTCTATTTTTAGCAGCTGAGAGCGACAGAGGAGATGCAGCTATGGAAATAGCCAATGGCCTGGAGGTATGCAGAGTCATTGGCTCAGCACCCGCTGCCCATTCCTGGGGAGCTAAGGGATTGGAGGTCAGGCCTTGAAAACATTGCCTTATTGCCCCCAACTTGTGACTTGCTTGTAAAAATAGGTGCTGAAGCATAGGAACAGCAATGCACCTTGATGTTCATGTTTTAGTTTGCAATGGCTTTTGTTTAATGGTGCATTCCATGTGGTACAGAAAGCGTCCGGTGCCATATCCTGTATGGGAGTGAGTACATTTGATGGAAGAAATGTTGTTTTTTTTTTTTTTTAATCATGAATGTCATGAATTTTAGAAATGCTTGAGTCGTCTCGATTATGCCCAAATATTTAATGGTCCAGAGTCAAAACTGATGCCTTGAGCGTGGAGCTCCTGGTCACAGTGCCCACAGACTTGCATGTCACCCTAGATGTAACCTACAGGATGTAATCGATTTATCTGCAATTTTGTGTAAGCCTAAAAGGTAGAGAGCATGAGTTTTTCAAGCGCCTACATCTTCTGGTATAAGTCGTGAGGTTGCCTTTGGTGCCCTTTGGCGAGTGATGTCCGTCCTGCCTGCAGACTCAGAGGTGGTCTCCATAAAACCATTCATGGTTCACTTGCCTAGATTTAGTTTGAGGGCTGCAAACACAGCCCCTGTCTGATGAAGTTTGTGTGTTGAGCAGATGATGGTAACTGACGTCTAAACATAGTCTTGCATTTCTTCATGTGATCTTCACGCAGCATAAATTAATGGTTTTGGCACGTCTGTGTTATGTGTAGAGCGATGCCTGACAGTTTCTTTGTTTATCACACATGCAGGCAATGTAAGTGTGCTAATCTCTCATTCCTTTGTAATCGGCCATACAAGTTTCAAGGTCTGGGCTGAATTTAATCAATACTCTTCCTCTAAATTGCTTCGTTCCATCAGAGCTATTCAAAGCATTTTTAAGGCTTTGATTTCAGCACAAACACAGGCTCCTTGCCAAGAACCAGAATGGAAAGTTAAGGGGCTTTTCTTTGAAACGATGGTGAGTGAGTGTGAATCTGAGATGTCAGGTGTGAGTGGGGCTAAACTGACCCCAGTGAGGAGCTTTTTTTAGCGGGGAAGCTGTCTGACCCTAGATCCTGGTCGGTGTTCTCATGTCTGTTACGGCCTCTTGTACGATGCCGAGGTGCCAGAATCCTAAATGCCAGTTACCTTTGCATCTCCAGAGTCCACCCGCAGGAGGGCGTTCGTCCTGGTGGCACAGGCTTACACGTCCATCACAGCCGAGGATTTCGCCGCCTTCGTGGGACACTCGGTGGACGAGGCAGTTAGGGGTAGGTCTCCTCCCTTCTTGGGGTGTGTGTGCACGGTTCAGAGCACGTCAGCCTGTCCTCACCGCACCTTCCTTACGAGTGGGCGCTTTATAAAAACACCTATCTGCTTTGGATTGCATCTTATAACCTGCTTAAATCAGTAGATTATCAAAAAATGGAAGACTGTCAGCTATCTTGTCCCTGCAGGAGCTGTTGCTCAGGGCTGGCAGGCAGACCCCAACACCAGGATGGTCATACCACAGAAGCCAGGTAGGTGGCACTGTTCCACCATATATCAGCAGTCGAATGTTTGTTTTGACATTTGCATTTTATGGAGATTTTTGAACAGTCATTGATGCGTGTAATGAAGGTGACGCAAACCCTCACAGTTCAGGTGTGTCGTTCACAAAGACCCATGGAACCACAGGGGCTTATCTGGTGTTTTCTTAGCTACCAAAGTGCTTCCCACCATTTCTGTGTATGAGGCCGGCCTGTAGGACTTAACATCTGCAGAACATTTGTGGCAGTAGCACTGAATCCATCCCCCCGCCCCCCCCATGGCCCGTCCAGTTCTCCGGAATCCTGAACTCAGAGAATCGTCTCATGAGTAGCTCTCCATGCACCTGTGCACACACACATTCCCTTTCTATGACCTGTGTGTATGAGGCCTCACTTATATTAAATGTCTAATGAATGTCAGAGTTCTCCTCTCACGTCACGAGTGCTCTCTCCAGCCTTACAGCCATGTCTGTCGCCCACAGATCCTCCACCGGTCTCGCTGGTCCCCAACGAGCAGCAGCTGGCCAGACTGACCGACTACGTGGCTTTCCTGGAGAATTGACTAGCCCGGCCCCAGCTGGCCCCTCCCCCGAGCCCCCCCCCCCCTCATGCGGTGAACACATGTCGCGATTATGCGTTACCACCAGAAGGGGACCTCGCTCATTCTGAGCCGGTTGTGTCGCTGAGGATCTGGAGTCATGGTGTCCAGTTTGGAGTGATTCCCAAGTGCTGGTATTTTGTTTGTGTAGATTTAAAATCACCAGCACATGGTAACCATCCTGTCATATACACCCAGTCTCTGACTACTGCACGTTTTTTTTTCCCCTTCATTTTTTTGAGTTACTTTGCATCTCTTTTCTGCTCACTTCTCGCTAAAGTGGAGAATAAACATTCTCACCATCTGTACAATACTCCTCTGTGAAGTTGTATACATTAGACAGACTCCTGGTCGGCGGCTGCCTTACACCTCGTGTGCTGTGTAAGCTGCCCCCGTCCAATCATTCTTCAGGCACTGTTTTCTCCTTCCTTCTTGAAATGGGTATTATTTTTAAACTCAAAACAGCCATCTGAACTGTTATGAAAGCACTGTCACGCTGACTGGAATTCCTGATCGCTCCCACCTCAGACCATAAACAAGCATGTTTTTTTCTTGTGTGGGGAAAGGCTCCGTATGAAATGTTTCTCCTCGCAGTGCTGTCTGTCTGCCAGGAAGAAGCCCCCCCCTCCATAAACCTCTCAGTAACGGCAGTGTCTCTGAGTATTGAGATCAGCACAGAGGCTCCCTGCTTTGCATCCTTACTCCCCTGGTCATTTTCACCATGTCCCGAGCTCTTCCATGGTTGTTAAATAAATTTTTATTTGAAAATTAAACCGCTGTGCTCATCTTGAGTTGAGTGTTTTTGGAGTTTTGTGATTACTTCAGCATGTCGTGTCTGAGTGGTGAGTGCCATCTTAAAGTGCCAGGTCTGTATCAGTGCGTAAAGATATGACCGTCCGTATCCACAGATTCCACATCTGCGGATTAAACCAACCACGGAGAGGAAAAAAAAAATCTGATAATTCCAAAAAGCAATTAGCTGTGCGCCTTGCACTACTCCATGTGAATGAAGTGGTGTGCATGCGTGTGTATGTGCTTGTGTTACTCAATTTTCATATGTTCAAATGATAAATAGCTTTAAACATTGCCTTTGACTGCCTAATTCAAACATATATACATACATATATATATGTATGTATGTCTGATACGTGGAAAAATGTCCCCTGGGGATGAATACAGTCTATTAGTTTCTGAATCAGAAATGGAATACTTTTACCCTTCAGGGTATTCTGTTCCATTGTATTGTTTGATCTGTATAGAACCTAAAGATTTAATGAACTACTTCTATAGTTTCCACTAAACATTTTCTTTTTAAATTTGTTTACCAGTAGAAAGTCTATGTGTTTGCACACATGAATTTGTAATGGGGATACAGAAAGGCCACTCAGTCAGCTATCTGCATGCACATTAGTACATTTCAGTTTTTATTATATATACGCTGCCTGGCCAAAAAAAAAAAGTTGTCATTTGAATTTATAACAGCAAATACTTAAGAGCCGATGACATTATTACAGCTCAGCAACGTTATGCAGCAATAAAGTGAAGTCAGCTGAGTACCTGAAACTACTGAATGGCCAGGTTACACCTCCATCCATCATTAATGGATTTTTTCTTCCCTGTTGGCATGGGCATATTCCAGGACAAGAATGTCAAGATTCATTGGGTTCGAATTGTCAAAGTGGTTCAGGGAGCATGAGGAATCATTTTCACGCATGACTTGGTCACCACAGAGTTGTGACCTTAACCTCACTGAAGGTCTTTGTGATGTGTTAAAGGAGCCTTTATGGAGTGGTTCAACTCACTTGTCAATACAGGATCTCAGTGAGAAATGAATGCAAATCTGGATGAAAATAAAGTGTGAGATGTTGCATAAGCTTGTGGAAACAATGGCATGACAAATGTGCACCATAATCAATAATCATATATATATACACAGACACACACACACACTATACTTTGATTTTGGAATTCAGGAAATCTTTTTTTTCCTTGTTAAGCCTTGGAAGGTAAATACAGGAATGCATGCTGGAAAGCTGCGCTTTTATCCTATTGTGAAAAAAACTGCGTGTCATCTGATCTGAATTATAGAAGTGGGAATGGATCTGGATGACAGGATGCTGGAGAGGAATGTCAAAAGGTCAGAAGGTAGTGAAGTCGCAGCTGGAAAACTACCAGGAGTCACAGTCACTCTAGTCTAAAAGAATGTTCTTCACAGGTGTGTCATTTCTCCAGTCTGTAAAAGACATGAAAAGATGCAGAGAATGTATCATAGCCATAGAGACCTGTCTTGCTCTTTAAACACACACACATATTACCAATTAACTGGAGGCTGCAGGAAGAGAAAGCTTACAGTAGTTATCAGGAAGAGAGACATGCTTCAGAGGTTAAGTAACAAAAGGTAAATCAAACACCACATGATTTTTTCTTTTTTATATATATAATTAAACACAGATCTACAGTCCTGTGGAGCCACATGCAGAAATACCCTTCCAGCCACTAATTATTACCACCTGAAGTTTTATTTATTGCATCTAGGGAACTGCATCTGGAAGCTGATTATTATGGAAAATATGCGTATATATAAAATCTCAGGTGTTGTGACTACATAAGATGTGTAAACAGAGGGAAAAAGAATGGCAAAGACTGAAAACAGAAAATGCAAACCGTAACTTAACTGTTTCGATGAGTCAGGGTTTCCTGTGGCAAATATCCGTCAGGATCAGCCAAGCCAATGTAAACCAACCACATCAAGAAGATGTTTGGTTTTTATCCAGCAAACACTGTGGAAAATATAACTTATTAGTCAAAACTAAAATTGTATTGGCATTCCTGTACGTCCATTTATTCTTAATTAATTTCTTATGCAGTACAGAGCTCCTTGAAGCACAGGACGCTTCCTAGACTGGAACCCTAATCCTAAACCTAATCCTAACCCTAACCGTCACTCCTCACATACAGAGCCGCGGGCAGGATTCAAATCTCCAACCCCGCACTGAGACCGCACTGTTGCTCCCCAAATGCCAGTAAGTAGTACGGTGTAATCATAGAGGGTATTTCATGATGTGGACTGGCAAGGTCATGAATTGTAACTACTCTCACCATAAGAGTTATTGGCGCAGAATGTGTGATATGGAAAAGCGCAGGTACTGACCTTGTGAAGGTGATATGCTCTGTATATTTGGATGTAATACTAAGCAATCAGTACAATAACCTGTGGCACAGTGTGACCCACTATAGTACTCTGTGGATAATCAGGTGTGTGCTGTAACTATGGCGACCCACCTCTGGTCTGCCCTGATTGGTCCCCAGCTGGGTAAACTCTGATTCATAAAACAAGGGCTGGTGCTGGCCAGTGTAACTGCTAGCTGTTGTGAGCTCAGCTAATTTTAGAGTGTGATTCAGCCTGGTCTTACCTCGATGGGGAAAACAGAGTGAGAGGTGACTCATCAGACAGATTCATTTGCTGTTGCTAAGGGCAGCTTACACTCTGTTGCATGCCGTCGTCCACTGGCTTTGGATACAAGCAGTTTCAGCTGTGCCACAAGTATTATTTTGTTAAGCTCACGCCATGCGGTTTTGCTTGACACAGAAGCGTCATTTCAGTGCTCTGTGGCTATCCCGTTAAGCTTCCATTCTTTCAACGAGTTTTGGCTTTTTGACCACTGTTCGTGTTTCCTGATACTTGATTTTACTGCTTGGAAAAGAGATTTTTTTTTTTACATTGTATTCTCATGTTTTTTTTTCCCCCCCTGTAATTATTATAGCTTCTTTTTGTCCTTAAAAATGCCATTATGGATAAAAGGTTTCATATTTCAGTATCGTGCTCCATTATGTAAACACTGAGGCTTCGAAATCAGTCGCTTTTTAGTACTGCACAGTATCTTTGCGTTCAGACCTACATGTTGCAGCAGTCAGTTTTAGGGAAGGATGAACCATCCACACTAGGAGGCACCCCAGCCTCGTGCTCTGTGCTGCCTGGCGGGGGCTCCAGGGTCTCCACACCCCCGACCAATACGTGGCTATAATATATAGGGATTCAGGAATGTTTAACACTGAAAACAGGCAGAAAATTGGCAACATGGTTCAACTCAGCTTGGTCCTAAAGTGAAGGACCCATAGTAGAGGAAGTAAATGCTGCAGAGACCAAGTGGCTTCCCACCCCCCCCACCCCCGGCATACTCACCTAAGTCTGAAAGTCATATGTCTGAAAGTCAATTGTAGGTATTGTTAGTTGTAAAGTAGAATGGCACTCTATTGTTAGGCCAGCTGGCTAATGTTGCAGATCATCTGCTGACAATTTCATGGAGGCATGGAGGAGAGGAAAGATTAAAGGTTATTAATACAGACCCTGAAGGGTTACAGACTGGTGTAAAAACGTAGAGCAGCACATGGAGAGGTACCAATAGCAGCATGACCTTAAAATAGACTGGAAAAACCAGGTCAAAAATAGTAGGTCACAAGTCTCTATGTAAATACTGCTACCTAGGGGGCATTGCTTACATTGGTCAGAAGAGGAATTTATAAGTTTGGAGCTGTGTAACTTATTTGAGAAATGGGTTAATTAGATTGGATTGACCGTGCATATACGATGGTGTCATTTACTGTTAATTACACCGGCCGACATTTTCAATTTTTTTGTTAGGTGATTTAACAAAAACAAGTGCATGTTCCAGAGTTTTTCATGTATTTTCAAAATATGGCTTCCAATTTGTCTGGTTTTGTCACAATTTACAATTAAAGTTCAACATAAATTATAGCAAATGTTACATTAAAGAAACAGTTCATCGTGTCTTTGCTGGTCACTCAGCGCTGTGAAACTGTTTCCGGCATGATTTTCTTTTGTATGAAGCATCAGGATTTTGTCTGTACAACAATGATCAGCCATCATATTTACATTCCAACGTTTTTGGTATCTTCGCTCCATTTCACTAATATCTTGGTGAAATCTCTCACCTTGCTCCTCACTATACTCACCCAAATTTTCAGGAAAGTAATCAAGGTGCGAGTCTAGGAAATGAATCTTGACACTCATTCTACATCCAAGATCTTGAAAACGACATATCATATCCTTGACGTGAACCTCATAGTCAGATGACTTCTTGTTTCTGAGAAATCCATCAACGACTTTACGGAATTCCTCCCAGGCTTGCCACTCCACTGTCACCATTTTGGCTGCAAATACACTGTCCTTCAGCAACCTTCCCACCTGTGGTCCGCCTTCCGGTACTGAGTGACAGGACCGGAAAGTGGACCACAGTTCTGATTGCAAATGTCGGCATCAGTGGACCTGCAGCAACATGCCTGTAAGTTTATATAACTGCAAGCTGCCTGTAAACCCTGCTGACTAGTTTGTACAAAAAATTTGTCTTACTTCAGGTTACTGCTGATTTTATATGACTGGTATCAAAATGACATTATTAGATATGCAATGCATTGTATATGAAAAAATGTTAAGTTGAAATCACAGAAAAACCAGACGTGCTGGAGCAAAACTAAATGTACTAAAAATGTTTGCTTATGAAGGGTGTTTGAAAAATGTCACTTGATATTATTCATCAAATCCGATGTCGGCAAGTGTTATCAGCTGCTGTAGAAATTGTCTTGCATTTATTTGGCATGATGTTCTGATAATAAATGCCTTGAAACTTTTCATTAAATCATTGCTTATGATTCTAAAATATATATAATATGCAGCCAAAGAATCATAATACTTTTGAAAAACCATATAAAATTTCCATGATTTTTATGTTTCTGTTAATAGTTAAATACTTCAGCCATAATTATTACTATGAAACGTCAGAAGCTTTCGTTTTCGTTGTCATAAAAACGTTAAATGCTGAAAAAAGCAGTTTTAAAATGCAAAAACTCATGCAATATGTGCAAACGATTATTGCTTTTTGCTTTCGATGGTGAGAATTTTTCACTCGAACCACCACATGCTCGAAAGTTTCCGTGTGAGTCTGAGCTCCAGAGGGTCCCAACGGGGGGGAGGGCACTGGACTCACTGTTTTTGTGAATTCTTTTTAGACGCTCATTTTAGGTGCGGGATTTATGTCCCACACGCAACAAAGTCCTTAGAAGTCTGAAGCAGATGACAGCAGATGTTTGAGCCTCTGGTCCAGATGTGGAACTCGAGGTGTATGTTGAGCAGAAAGAGGACACAGCATCACCTGACGTAGACCTCCTTACACAGAAGCCTCAATATGTGTCCATCTGAACAGTACCTGGATGAGCACCTCCTGTTGTGTGAACAGAAGCTGAGGGGTTCTGCATTGGGGTGGGCGTGGGAAATCCGTCCCACCTTCACACGCCCTCTCTCTAGCCGGGTCTTACTCTTGGCTTGGGAGTCTAATATCCAAGGCCAGGATATTTCTCAGACTACTGTTTAAAGGGCCTGCAGGATTTGGAGACAGAGTTAGCCGCCAAAACCAAGATCAAACAAAAAGAGCCCCAGTGCCCTTTAAATTAAATTCCCTTGATAATTTCTCAATAGAAAAAGTATATGATTTTAAAAGTCAGACACTGCAATTGATGAGATATTTCAGCGGCCTGTTTTTAATTGTTAGTGGGAGTATTGTTGAGAACAGATGGCTTCAGTCTGGTGGTACTTATGAGTCATACGGTTTTTATAGCTTCAGTTAATGGATGTGCTTGATAAACGGAAAACAAAACCGTAAGCCAAATCTCCTTTGTCACATGTCCACATTTCCACAGGCATGTGCTGGAAACTGGGCCTCTGGTTCTCCTCAAGGCCTTGCAATATAACCAAAAAAAGGGGGTAAGACGGGTTGAAAGGAGTGTCAGAATCCCCCCTTAGCGGCAGCTTAAATGTTTCTAGTGCTGCCCCCTGCAGGTAACCCGCTCTCCTTACAATTCACGCAGTTAAGCAGACGGTTAGCGGTTACACACAGAGAGTGAGACACAGCCATGATTAAGGTCCCTTATATGCCTGATTCTGAATGCTGAGCTCCTTTTTAAACTATACATTTCCTCAGACTAATGCAACATAACCATGTTATTCGTTATGAGTGAAACAGCGCAGGCCGGCTATTTTCTTACTGCGTTGAAAGTAGTGGTTGTAAACACAGAGAATCTCATTATTAAAATGCCAGGCTCCCTGCAGAGCATCACACGACCAGACATTTTGACATACAGGCGTTTTAATGTACTCTGAAGAACAGCTGGTTTACATTCACTTTTGCTGCATTCGTGCTGTTGCTCTCTTGTGCTTCTGGACAATGTGAGTGGCCAGTGAACAGCAGAAGTTTGGGCTTTTCTCTGGGTCCTCAGCTCATTGTGTGAATGCAATTTCCCTGTTACCAATTGCTGAGCTCCAGCAAAGTGAATTCAGTTTCCCTGAGCAGTTTGTATAGATGGCAATACTGCAGTGTATGAACAAAACCTAAAAGCAATTCAGCTCCAACACATTTTTCTAGCTTTTTCTGTTTGTTTGACTAGTTTGTGAGTAAATAGTGAATTCGAGCCCAGACCAAATGAAATGACTTAACTGTAAATGCAGTCTTTTCATTACAGCTTCTGCAAAGCACAAGAAATTTTCTATCTTCATATTATTTTCTCTTTTCAGTGGTTTTATATCCCACAAAAGGCCATTCAGTAGCTGCCACTGTGGCCTTAACACCAGGATTGAAGATTTGATCCTTAGATTGGCTCTGTGCACATGTGCATGTGAGTGTGTCTGGCCTGTGATTGGCTGGCATCCCATCCAGGGTGTCTTCTGCCTGGGGCCTCCCGTTGTCTCCCTTTGCATCCTGGGAGAAGCTCCAGGCTGTTTACATTATGTCACTTATTCATGGGTTATGCATGGATGATGACAAAATGTCCATCAAATTACTTTTAAGTTTTCTGCTTAGAGCTCCATAATCGTGAACATTAATCCCGCAGCTCTGTGAGTTCAAAAACACCACAACCACACAGTCAAGTCATGGGTTGTAAGTAGGGATGCAAATTATCGAGTAATTCATTAATCAATAGTTGTTTCATCTTATCGATCGATGATCGATTAATTGCTAAGCAGCAATTTTTCTATTTACTTCAAAATACTTCCACATATTGTGCATTTGGCGTCGTTGTCGTCATTGACCAACTTGAAGTGGCTCCATACTGCACTCCGTTTTGCCCTCTTCATCCTCTGTGTACCGTTTCTCTTTTATCTGTTGTTTTATCTGTTGTTTGCTTGTGTTCCCGCGTGTGCGTCAAGTACGTTTGGCGTCAAGTGCGCCCCACGAGGACTGGCAAGGAATTATGGGTTCAAAATACAATTAATTGCAATTAATTAATTTTAATCGAGTAATTTCTTATCGACAATTAATTGATAATCGATTAATTGCTTACATCCCTAGTTGTAAGCTTCCATTTATATGGAGGATCCTAACTCTACTCTTTCCATCTATAAGATACCCAAATGGGGAAGGGAAAAGCGGGAAATGCAAATAAAACCTTATGTGGCCCTCACCAGTTAGGGGCACCGCACTGCCCACTGCTGAAGGTAACTGGTATCTGATGGACAGTGGGATCTTCAAGAGTATTGACCAATATATCTCTAAGAACTAAGATCAGAATTCTTCAGAATACAGTACTTCCCGTGAACTTGAACATGGACTAAAAATAACTAGGCTGAATCCATTTTATCTTGGGTATATTACTAGAAGTACCAGTGCACTTGGAAAAGTTGAGGAGGAAAAGGGTCAACAAGAAGCTGGATGGACTCAATAATCACAGCAATTATCATGGCCTTGGGAAGCCTGAAGAAGTAGAAGAAGACAAGACATTCCAGAGGAACCCTGTCAATATGGCTGACAGAAGGCAACATTGACATCATGCCACCTGATGGCAGGGGCGGAGCTAAAGAGTGGGCGGGGTAGCCAGTGCCATCCTAACATGAAGCATGGCTACCCCAATTTTATAATTGTTGCATTACAATAATTGTTGTTTGTCGTTTGTGTGTGTGTGTGTGTGTCTAGACCAGGGGTCTCCAACTCCGGTCCTGGAGAGTTACTATCCAGTAGGTTTTCTATCCTACCTGGCTTCTGATGAGCCACACGTTCCTGGTATTTACCTGAGAACAGGTGTGGCTCATCAGAAGCCAGGTAGGATAGAAAACCTACTGGACAGTAGCTCTCCAGGACCGGAGTTGGAGACCCCTGGTGTAGACCAAATGCCCCCCCCCCCCACAATGTAATAAAAATAAAACACACATTTGTTAATTCTATTATGCATGTTGTAATATTTATCATTTTGACTGCATTGTCAGTTTCCTTGGATGCTGGGTTTGTGTTTTATCCCACTGCAACCCGAATAAAATCACTGGGTCTAGATTTGTCACCCAAT